CTACCTCTTGACGAATCCTCTCCTGATCCGCCAAGTTAAGGGCTCCAGCCCGCACCGACTCATGCCTGTATGGCCGGTTGTGGCGTTGAGCATTGCTTGACATATCTGCGGATTCCATATGCCTACTGTAACTCGGGCTCCGGCTTGGGCGAGGAGTTGAATGGATCCTATCTCGACTGTAGGAGTATGCATCCTGCTGCGCCAGAGCTGTTTGAAGAAGTTCTCTTACCCTCCGTGTTTCAATTGCCGCTGGCGAGTCACCTTCCATCGGAAGAGCCGCCAGACGAGCCGATGCTGCGACGAGGTTTTCCAAAGGGTTGGAGAAGTGACCCGGTGGCGTTGGGATGTAATGAGGCGGAGCGGTAATTATACGAGGTGGATCCATGGCACGCGGCTGGACCGGTGCGTCGGGTGTTGTAATCCGGGGTGCCTTCGGTGGGTTACTTCCTCCAGCTCCGGGTGTGTGAAAAAGATTCCTAGGATCGAGCGCAGAGGCAGACGTGATTGGGTTTTCTGATGCCTCCTCCTCATGACCTTGTTCGACGCGTTCAGATCCACTGAGAGCCGGAAGGTCTCCGCTTGAAGCTGTTGAGCACGAACGTCCAAAGCCGCCCGCTCTGCTGCCATCCTGACTTCCTCTGCGGCTAGATTTTCCTTAGATTGCACCATCTCTTCGCGTACGCATACCACCTCTGCGTCATGCTGGGCTTTATCCGCCGGCTCTACCATGGCAGTCAATAGAGTCGTCAGTTTATCCATGAGGTCCATCAAGATCTGAGCCGGGGGGCGCGCGGGGTCTCCTAACCCGGCTGCAGCCGACCCAGTAGCTGTTGCCACCGCTGTTGTGGAGTTCTGCCTGGGCTGTGTCCCTGCCATGAAGACTCCGGCCCAATTCGGCGGCTCAAGAGGGTCCGGAATACTGCTGCCATCGGAACAGCCCCCGAGCATGCCGTCCTTTAGCTGGTACAAAGAGCCCGTCTCGCCCGTTGATGATGCAATGTCAGAACAGACGACCGTCTCACCGCCCTCCACCGATCCTTCAGAGTATTCACCGCCGTGGATGCAGCCTACGAAAGCATGCTTCACGGCAGATTGAACACAGGCAGTCCTCACGCGCCGAGCCGTTTCGATGAGGTCGGTGTGGACGTCCGGCTCAGGACCTGACTCGCCGATCCGGCCGATGAAGACGTGAATTTCGCCGAAGGGGACCCGGTACCCGTACTCAATTGAGCTGGCCTCGGGGCCCCAGCCTTTGTCGTTGATGTAGAGCTTGCCGCGACGACTCTTGGTCATCCGGCCCATAGCGTATCCCTTGAGCCCTTCGAAGCTGCCCTTCAAGAACTCAAATCCACCGTGCGCTGGCCCCACGGTGGGCGCCAACTGTCGTGGAATTGTCACGGCAGATGTCCTAGAGCAAGGACTTAGTCCTAGGGCCATCGCACTAGGAAGCTTAAAGGGGTTAGTCGGGACAAAGGACATGAGAGGGTTTTATACTAGTTCAGCCCCTTACGATGAAGGTAAAAGCCTACGTCTAGTTGGGATTGTTATTGCTGGGGTTTCGATCACCAAGAGGCTCAACTCGCCGTCTTGGTTATCGACTTGTTGTTTCTCACCCTAAGTCGCCACCAGGTCGTCCCCTTATATACATGGGTTGACGCCTGGTGGCCTACAGAGTCCCGGCCGGTTCATAATTGTGTCCAGCTCGGTGACTTCCTTTACATGTCTTTCTTTACAAGTCTTTCCTTACATACGGCGGTTCACAATATCAGGCCTTAAACCGCCTTCAGGCCTTTGGGCCTTCTATAAGACTTAATAAACTATAATCTTGAATGTTTACTGGGCTTCTTGTGTAACCCGCCATTGGGACTGACCCGGCCCCTCCTGGGCGGGTCATAACTGATAGTAATATCCCCAACACTCCGTAATGGACTCTTGTGTAGCCTTTGTGGACTCGGGATATGTATCCTCATGTACGGTTATCACCTCATCAATCTGCATATTCTCTGTATCCTCTGTAGTAGATTCTTCTTCTATCACCTCTGCCGACTCAGTGTCTGTATCCTTGCCTTTCTTTATTCTTTATCACGTCTTCAACCTGCATATTATGTATATCCTCATCCTTTGCTACCTTGTTGATGTCATTCTGAAAACCAAAGCATGACAATTTAGATAGGAAACCTTGCATAGGAAGAAGAGAGATATAATATGTCTTTACTCTGTATGGTAGTTAATATGAGCCATAATTGATTACCATATGAACTGCTGCCTCTGTAGGATTTATGTAGCGGTGGTAACACAGTCAGTTGGGAGGACCCAATGGCAGAGTCGATATTATTGACATTTTCCTTGTTAGAAACAGCAGTATCTGGTGTTCTTAATGAATTTGGACCATCAAGTGGAGTCTGATCACTCATTATCACATCAACAGGTATGCCTGCATCATAATTGTATGTACAATGTCAGCTGTTGACACACTAATGCCGGTATTATGGTTGGATGTAGGAGAACGCATGACCTTCGGTAGCTGATGTGTGTCGTTGCTGGGTGACAGTAGACTGCGTACTAGGCCTCTCCATAGTGTCAAAACCTATCCAAAAGAACACTTAATTAACATGATTTTACATGTGATTAATGAAATGCATGAGAAAAACAGAGAAAATGGAGTAACCAGGCGACATGGCCATGTGTGGCTTAGACGGAGTGTTGATTCCATTTAGAATAGCACCCGTAGCTTTCTTACGATCCCTTGCCTCCTGTCTTTTCTTTAATATTGCATCCCTGTTTAGTGCATACCTCTCCCTTTCCCTCTGTTTCTTCAGCTCTTTTGGATTTATTTTTTGACCTGCGACACAATGACATATTCTGGATCTACAAGATCTAAGTAGGTAAGAGTAGGTGATATATGTATTTACCTGAACTGTTGTTGTTGTTTGTCAGGTCCTGAAAGGGAGTACGTACCCCACTACGTTGAGAGGATGCCATATTGTCTTCTCAATGGTTTTTTTGTGAAACACTTATTCAACCCTTCATCAACTCAGTTTGTTCATGATGTACTGTAAGTATCAAATTTCACAGTACAAATTTCAGACTGTCAGATTCAAAGAGCAATTTCCTTTGTCTTCTGTCAGATCATAAGACGTGCAGTATAAATTGATCTAACATGTGGTACTGGCAGGTCGAGATGTTGCTGCCCACATGGGGTGATGACACCGGAGGTAGGGCAGCGCGCTGGGTCGAGGACGTCGTGGACAGGGTGAGAGCGGCGTGGTGGGGACGGCGGGCGAGGGGAGGTAGGGAAGCAAGGTGGGTCGAGGATGTCGTGGACACCAGGGGCGAGGGCGGCTGGCCGAGGCAAGGTTCGTGGCGTGATGGCAGCGTTGATGGTGGAGGATCGTGGCGTGGTGGCGGCTTTGATCACGGAGGTTCTATTTAATTCCCGGGGGGTGTCATCGCTGGGCTATGTCAAATCCTGAACGGGGGAGTCTGCCGGCAGAACATTTGTTTTGAACCGTAGATCTGTTTGTAGTATGGTGGATGTAACATGGACCGTTGGATGCAACTATGTGGGTTTGATCGAACGTTTGGGGTTATCCTGTGTGCACTTTCTGGGGTGCACATAGGGGAAGTCATGTTTGATTTTTTTAATAGTAGTATAGATGCATCACTAGTAAGGTACACTTGTATTGCATGTATTAGATTTGACAAGCAAATTAGGAATAAATACCACACTATAGTATATAAGTTTTGAGTGATATGTGTATGATGTAGATGTTCGTTTAATTCTTATAGTTTATCTCATTCAAAATCGATTAGTTTTATAGAAAAAAGTTAATCTATTTTAAGATTCATGGAATTGTACATTGTAAAACATAAAGTAAAAAACAAAAATGGCAATTCATTTAAAAAAATGGGCAATTATGATACGGAAGATTTTAGAACAAAAAAGAAGTGTTTGTGGTTTGAGGTTTGTGCATTATGCTTAATTTCAATCACGGAGTCTTCTAGATTCTACATGTGGTAGAATCTGATGGAATGTACTTCCTCCGTTCCTAAATATATGTCTTTTTAGAGATTTCAAATCGTAAAAAAAAAAGTACCTCAAGAAGAACCAATGGAGTAGCGACACAAAGCACACCGTCCTGGGAAAATACACAGGAGCTTCTGTGTGCTCCACACCCCTATACAAATATTAATTGTAAAAATACTATTTTTAAACTGAAATTTGGGGATATCAAATGTGTGTTCTCAATCTATATCCGTGTGAAATTTCGTGAACAAATACCAGGAAACGTAGCGAAGGAAATACTGTCCAAACAAAAATTCATCCAAACATTTTTTTCTTTATACATAGAATTTTTTTGTCTTTTTGCCGCAAATACGTTTTCTAGTATTTTTTCATGAAATCTCACGCATAATATTTTTTCACACATAAGTAGATCAGGACCTAGGTTTGGTATCTCAAAATCTCAAATATATTTTCAAATTTCTTAATATTTTTTAAATTTAATGTTCGTACAGAGGTATGGAGCACCCGGTGTTACAAATCCGCTTCCCACCGTCTTGTAACTTTTTTGTTCATCTTCAAACTCACCGTCCTGTAATAATTATAAACTGTAACATCAACATAGAACGACGAGCTAATCTGTCAAGTCACCCTTCCAGAACAGTCGAATGCGTACGTGGCCTCCTGCAAAAAAAAAAAGAATGCGTACGTGGCGCCACCGACACGTTCCGCTTTGCGACGCGTGCACACGCCCCGGCTATCCCTGTGCCCGCGGCGACCACTTTGCGCCTCCCGACTCACCATGCGTGCACACGTACCCCCTGCGATAGCCACCTGGCCTGCCAAATTCCTTTACGACCCCGGCCTGTCGCTACGGTATAAATATCAACCTGGCAATCCACTTCTCTGCGCACAGCGACGACTCACGAGCTTTCTGTCATCCAAACTTACAAAGACCAAAAGCTAAAGCCACAACCGTTTTAGCAAGAGGCAAAGGATGGAGTTCCAAGGGCAGCACGACAACCCCGCCAACCGCGTGGACGAGCACGGCAACCCGTTCCCGCTGGCCGGCGGCGTCGGGGGAGCGCAGGCCGCTCCCGGCACCGGCGGGCAGTTCCAGGCCCGCAGGGAGGAGCACAAGACCGGTGGGATCCTGCATCGCTCCGGCAGCTCCAGCTCCAGCTCGGTATGATTCTCTGTCGACACACACATGTACACATTCATCTGCTTCTGTATATGTCTAGATGTTCATTTCCGTGGCTGTACAGTCTTCAGAGGACGACGGCATGGGCGGGAGGAGGAAGAAGGGCATGAAAGAGAAGATCAAGGAGAAGCTCCCCGGCGGCCACAAGGACAACCAGCAGCGCATGGCGATGGGAACAGGGACTGGAGGAGCCTACGGGTCGGGAACATGAACTGGTGGAGCCTACGGGCAGCAAGGCCACGCAGGAATGGCCGGCGCCGGCACTGGCACCGGCGAGAAGAAGGGGATCATGGACAAGATTAAGGAGAAGCTGCCGGGACAGCACTGAGGTGCCGGCTCCGGCCGGCTGCTACACGCGTCAAAGCCTTCAAGTTCCGCGTGATCTTTGTTTAATAATAATAAGATGAAGCTGAACGAAAGCTTGTCTCTGATATCATCTGCGTCAGGGACACCTTTCTGTATACAGCGTGCGTTGTGTTTGCGTTGTGTTTGTTATGTTTTGTGTGTTGTGTCTTCATGTTGAAACAAATTTAGTGCTTGTTTCTCTATATGAGGGTCCTTTTTTACCTTTTTTTACTGGTCAATGAGCCTTTGAGCTAAGGATTAAAATGACACTTTTTCCAGTTATAATGATTATCATGTTTTCAGCAACGATAGTTATAAATTAAATCATATGAACACAAATTAACATTATGTTTTTCATTTTATAGAGCCCACATTCAATGGGTCTTCAATTCAATTAAAATTCAGCACCCGATTTCGACCGATGAACAATTTTGAACGCTCACTCATTCAATACTTTTATAACACTAGTAATAGTGTATGTACAATGCACGTTTATATTAGATAGGATATTAGTGGCACGTTATATTAGATAAAATATACCTAATTACATGACAGGAATAGCGTTGAGTCAAAACACGTTTATAACCAATTGTAATAATGGATAATTATAGCGTTAAAAGTGTTTGGTGTTCAACATTAAAGCGATTTGAACCGCTAAATAACATGATTTAACGGTCGAGATAGTTTGGATCCGTCCATCTGATTCTCTTTATATTGGTATAGATATACTACTATGTTTTTTAATTTTTAAGGTCTCATAATTAATTGAATTCTTTAATTTAGAATTAGCATCTGATTTTAATTTTATAAGAAGCTTCCCAATTCAATTCTTTTAATTCTCTAGGTTTCTTAATTTTGAAGCTCTTTTATTTAATTGAGATATTCAATTTTAAATTTGATTTACGATTTTTCTTTCTTAAGAAGCTCCTCAATTCAATTCTTTTAATTCCTGAAGTTTCCAAATTTTGAAATGCTTTCATTTAACTGAGATATTCAATTTCAAATTTGATTTTTATTCAATTGACAATTTAATTTTAAATATGGTTTTCATTTAATTAAAAATTTTAATTTCAAATTTGGTTTATGATTTTGTTGAGTCAACGATTTTTCTAATCAATCAGCAGCAGTCAGCCTATAAGGCCTATAAAAACATATCAGTACTACATTGCCCAGAAAAAAAACATCCTCCCACCACCTAGAATAAAAAATATCACGTGACACTGTTGCACCAATATAGTAAATACACAGATATAGTAAATGTAGCAAATCAATCAGCAATAGTCGGCATATAAAAACATACCAGTACGACGTATCATTTCGCCGACCAGAAAAAAAACCATCCTCCCGCCACCTAGAAAAAGAAATCATAATGTGTCACTGTTGCATCAATATAATAAATGCATCGATATAGTAAATGTAGGAACGTCAAAATTTTCTCATATAAATATGTCGATTAGCGGATAGCAGAAAATCACAATGAAAAGCCTATCAAATCATTCCATTATAAATAAACATAAAATACACTGCATCATCTTCCTCACCCGCAAAACTAAATATTCCACGGTAAATATAAGGGGTATTAACTTTTGAAAAGACAAATTTCTTTAACTTTGACCAAGTTCAGAGGAAGATATTCACAATATTAAACAAAAAAAGTATAAAATTTCATTCAACGACGAATCTAATCATACCGACTTGATATTATAGATTTTAATATATTTTCTACAAGTTTGATCAAACTTAGAAGGATTGACCTTAAAAAGTAATTACCTTATATTTTTTTTAAAAGCCCAACAACACCAACAACGCAGCAAAAGCGTGCCTAACCATTCTAGTACAATACACTATGCTTTGTAGTTTTTAAGGCCTCACAATCAACTCATGTCTCCAACTAAAATTTGGTCACCGGATTTGTCCAGGTCAAAAAATTCTCAAGGATATCTCCCATTTAATTAGTTTAATTCACTATGTTTCCTAATTTCAAAGCTCTTTCATTCGATTGATGTATTCAGTTTTGTATTTTGGTTTACGATGCTACAAATCAATTGCAACAACAGACATATAAAAACATATCAACCCCGCCCACCCTACCACCTCCTAGAAAAATGAAGCATCATCATGTGATACTATATCATCAATATAGTAGATGCAACCATCAAGAGAAATTTCGCCACACAAATATGGTTTAATTAGCGGATAACATAGAATCACACCGCAAAAGGCACACCAAATAACCCCATTATAAATAAACATAAACACACTTCATCATCTCTCCCACCCGCCAAACTAAATATTCTATCAGTACCAAAATAATCCGTCATCCCCCCACCCGCAAATTTACTTTTTGGAAAGTCAAATTTCTTTAACTTTGACCAAGTTCAAAGCCAAAAATATCGACATCCACAAGCTTAAAAAAATGAAAATCCATTTCATGACGAATCTAATGACACCGATTTGATAATATGAATTTTGATATATTTCTCAACAAATTTGATCGAACTTAAAGAAGTTTGACTTTGCAAAAAAAGTAATGCACCTTATATTTTGAAATAGAGTGAGTAATAAAATTTAAGAATCTCAATAACACCAACGGCGCAGCAAAGCACGCCTAGCCCTTCTAGTATACCTGATAGTCGAATGAGAAGAACCCGTGTATTTTTTAATAAAGGCAAAAGATTTGCCCCATTCAATAATTAAGACAAAGAGAGTTGCCTAGCTAATTTACAAAAAACTGGACAAAACTATCACAAACCGCTATGCCACACACACAAGATATCCTACACACATCACTCTGAATAAAGTCTCGTCGAGGTAGCACATAAGCGCTAATGTCATCACTTCTTCTCGAGCACACATCAATATCATTCCTTTTCCCTGAGCAAGCGAGTTCGACTTCACCACAGATGACCATTGACCCAACCCACGTCATAGAGGTCATGCAAAACTACAATAAGATACATGCCAATCACTCGGCCAACAGGGACAACGCAACTCTGACAATTAAGGAGAGCTACAAATAAGAAATATGCAAGGTTGGCACCATAGAAAATCGTTGAAGAGCCCATCCACATATCATTGTTACCACCCGTCCCCACCGCCACAACTCCTATTTCACACACAAACAAAAGGCAAACCCATGAACATGTTGGAGAAGAGCCGGCTATCACAACCATTGCCACTTGCGTCGGTCACCCTCATCATCCTCGCCACAAAATCCCTGACGCCATCTCCACATGTCGTTGCCATGACTATAGCCTCCACCAACCTCACGCATCAGTTGGTCCCCCAACCAACATCCACTCCAAGAACGATGCCCCCAAGAGGGAAACAAGACTCATAAACACCACTGTCGTTTATCTCGAGGGTATATGGTTTTCGCTGGAGTGTACTATGGTAGAAGGTGATCACAACCCCTCCACGACGTCTCAAGGAGAAGATCGGCACTGATGCGGTCGTCGAGCCGCAATGGTGCGAGTTTGAAACTTGCTTTTGACTAGTATGAACCTTAAAGCTTAAAATGAAGATAATAATGCCAGGAATTTTTTTTGTCATTTTTTTCCTTCTGAACAAACAAGGGGTGCTCAAGGCGCAATTCATTTTGCTTTGGGGATATGAATGCATGCACATCTGCGAGTAGGTGATACGTCTCAAATATATCTACAATATTTTTAAGTATTCATACTATAATCACATAATTTTATATGCTTTTGCACAATTTTATATCATATTAATTTGGACTAACATATTAACCCAGTGCCAAAGGCGAGTTCTTGTTTTCTAGTGTTTTGGCATTTTAGTTTTATGGAACGAAAAAACCTAAAAAAATATCAGAAACTCTTTTATGCCAAAAGACTCCCGCAGCGGAACCTTGGGGTCCACCAGTTGCATGCGGGGCCCCTGGCCACACGGTGGGGCCGCACGGAGGTTCCTTAAGTCGGTTGGGGCCCTAATTTACTGCAAGAAAGCTATAACAATAGTAAAAACTCAGTAAAAATGGCCAGAATTGCAGATCTCCGGTTATTTAAGATATGGTGTTTCGGGGCAGAAGAGTACCAAAAGTTGGAGACAAAAAACAAAGATCCCATCTAGGGGAGTGCTCCCTCTCTCTCTGGAGGGTCAAGGAAGAAGAAAGGAGGGCGCCCCTTTCCCCTCTCCTTAGGTGGCGCCGGAATGCCGCTGAGGACATGCATATATGCCCCCCATCTTCATCACCATCACCAACAACTTCTTCCTCTATTCTCATGGTGATGTGCTATTAGTTCATCCTCGGGGCTGAGAGTACGTACTAGTAGATATGTGTTTGATATATCTCTCACATGTTCTTTAAAGTTTCTGATCTTAATTGTATCATGAGTTTAATTAATATAGTTGGATCTGTAGGGATCTATGGTAGGGTGCATCGACTGCAAATTAAAATTTCCTACGCGTAGAACAACCAAGAACATGCTACGGGAGATGGATCATAGTTCGTTACCACTAGACGCGCAGTGCCGTGCAACAGAAGAAGAGTTGGGGCAGCGCGTCCGCGTTGATCGTCTCCTCCTCGTCCGATCTCCCTCGAACAGCCGGTCGTCGGTTCCCACATACAAGTTCGTCGGAGCGGCGCAAGTGCACCGCCTCTAACGGTATCCACGCGTGCAGGAGGAACGTCGTGCGGCGGACTGCTAGGTCCGATCACACAACCGACGGTGAGTGGAGGTGTCTATTCGCAACACATGCAAACCCTAGTGACAGCGATGAAGTGATCAACCGCATCAGTGTGTTGCACCCCACTTTATATAGGCGTCCGTCGCGGGCTCAACATTTGGGCCTCGCACGGACCCTAAGGTACATAAGTCTAGTCGGCCACAATATGAATATAGCTCG